TATGCATCAATGTACCTACCTAAGACCTGAACTTCACATAATTCCAGAATAGGATAATCACTATACCAGTCGTGTCGTTTTGGGCTCTCTCTGTTATTGTAAACAGTCACATACCGAGCTACGTATGGACACAGGTGAGTCGGGTTTAAGTCTACTTCTTCCTTCTTACTACTGTTATCCTGATAACATAGAATGTCTTGTATGTTGTCGGTAGAGTTGGACACGGAGAGCGAGTATCCACCAAATCTTGGTCTAGAATTGTCTAAAATATACGAATTTTATGATATTAAACTACTTGAAATGCTTTTGCATTCATTGAGGTGATGAACAATTTAGATCAAAAGCCCAAAGAATAATGTCCTGTTTAAGTTGAAGATATACGTAAGCCCTTAGTATTTGTATTGTCTAGAAATGTAGTTTATAGTTATTTATAGTTAGATAGTGATGTAAATCAAACAAGTTGTAACAATGCCCACTCAGAAATATTAAAAACGAGTCACATTCGGAGTTAAATATGGAATCTACCACGTTCTACACGAACTCCCTGACTAATACGCTTTATGGCTTGTCAATGTGTACAGATGCGTTGCAATATTTTATAATCCTAATATTACGAATTATGAACATAATATTTGCACGAAGTAAAAATTGCTACACTTTCCGTTACTTAGTGATTTTCAGAACTGATAAAAATACAAGGTTGTGGTCGGTATTTTGTTTCCCGAATAGCATTCAAAATTAATTCAAAACGGTAATAATTTCAATATAAACACATTACCTAGCAAGAACAGTTTTTATAATTAAATGATGATACAAAAACAACTTACTTCTGTAGTATATCGTGATGTATTGTATTGTTCTTCTCTGTCCTAAATCCACACGCCACCAGGCTTGTTTGTGATTCTTGTCAGCTGTATGAGCACAACAATGAGGCGGTGTTCCTGATATCGTTTGATTGATGCAATTGTCTATTGCTTTATCAGCTGTCCATCTATCGTCTTGATTTGCCGATTGTTTTGCAGTTCCCGCCAAAGCGACATTTTCTGAAATGATGAAAAAGGTAAAATGTTACAGTGATATATGCTATGACTGCATCATTAATTGTCTTTCGGGAGTTCCAATGTCGTGTGGTATATTGAGTGACTTTGGGTGTTCTTCGCATGCGTTAACCCAATCCATTGGGCAATGAAGAATACAGTTCAAACATTTAGGAGTAACGGATTATTTTATGGGCGGGGTATGGTTAACATAAGTCACCCCAAAGCGCGAAGCAATATATGTATTTAGGGGTCAAACACTATTATAAGTCCTCTAGAAGTTATGGTTGTTGTCTCTAAAATATTGTAGAGTGTTATTTAGCTAATAATTTTATTTTGGTATTGTCACGATATTATTTGTCCTTGTTAAATCTCTACATTTTGTCCTGCTATACCAGGCATTGTGCCTGTGACGGGGTGATATCTGGTAGCTCTAGATTCTCCATATAAGGCTCATATTGCTTAAGTTGTTTTGCAGAATGTTGGGTTTGGTTGATTTAATTAAAAGATGGCTTGGCACATTGCCGTCGGGCGCCATCTCCTTTTATACAGTTGTATCATATAATAGAAGAACAATTACCAATATCAAAAATAGCATATTTGCTTCGGCGACTATTTAAGCAATAAACTGCATTGATGTGGCAGACCAACTGGTATAACTGCCACATGTGTCACAGACAAACTGAATGGTGCGCGCTAGCTTATATTTATATTTCCATAATGAGAATTCGCAAAAAATAATTTATGTCTTTTCCAAATTTCAAATTTCCCGCTTATTACCGTCATGTCAGGTCAATATCTAGAACGGCACAAAGATAACAGCTGACGTCGGGCACTATTTCCCATGCACAATTGAAATGACTCCGCAACTTTCTTTAATAATTCATTTGTTTTTAATTTATATATATATCATATTCTCGATTCATGAATAGTAACAAATAACATTTTGTAAGTAACTAATCAAGTGTCGTAAAACATTTTTCCGATTTTATTGCGACCTATATCCGGCGCACGCACTCAACGGAAGTCTGCAGTAATCAGGTCAGAGTTATATTTGAAGTCCGGCATGTTGTTGATGTTTATCGTGCAACCGGAGAAGGTTGAATTGGTGAAAAATCCAGGCATACAATTGTTTGTTGATCACACAGACACTTGAGACAGGCAGCTGGTGTTTGGGATCAAAGCAGAAGATACTGATCAGTTCGGTAGTGACACTGTTAAGTCGCTCGGAGGTGCAAAGACCAACTTAAGTTATAGTCTCATAAGATGAAGCTGCTATTGACACTACGTTAGTAGTAATATAGAAGGGCTTTGCCACACCAAATGTAAATATAGATCTTTACTTATAGTTTATGGTGTAAGAGTATCAGTTACAAATGTACATTGAAGTAATTCAGATATAATTCCTCTGAAAGTCTACAATAATACATACAATGCATATACAATTGCATAAGGTCAACAAAATGAAATAACCATAATAAAATAAACGTTAAGGCATACTTTTGAAAGACATTTCTAAAATTAATAAACTACAGAGCGTCTACATTTCAATTAATGTGAATATACCACAAAAACGTCATTCTTATAGAAATCATCGAGCTTTCAAAATTCCTTTGCCTTTTGTGAATAGCTTAATGCTTACTATATTGTCTTGACAATTTAGCTAGTGCGATTTATCCTTTCCACTTTCGCCCCATTGATTTAGATGTTACCTTAGGTATGAATATAACACATGGTGAAGTATGTGACTGCGAAACAATTAAAAATGCAGCCGTATGTCCAAAAAATTAATTACACTGCATTAAACAGCTGTTTCGTCCTTCTTTGACTCATCGATGGTACTAGGGGCACAACTGTTAAAAAAAAAGTCTAAACTATTGTTGAAACAGAAAGGAAATTGTGTAAAAAAAATACCTCAATTTTATAAATTAAAAAAATATAGAAGTATTGCTTATTTGAAACTGAATAATTAGTTAAGGTTGTACATCAAGAACCGTGTCGTTAGAGGAGTACCTGTAGAAAACCCCACGTGGTCGGGTATTTAAAAAGCACCGGGTCAAAGGGGTCAACATGAATTATATTATTCCTCAGTATATATGTAGCGTAACAACAAATATCAATGAAATAATAAATAAGAGAGCGTATACATGGAAAGTATAACAAAGGTAACAGGACATCCGCGGGGAAAGCCTGTCAGTGTCACTAGAAGAATAATAATCGTTACTTTGGTTTCCCCTAAAACCACCAACTTATGACCATCGGTAATCTTAGGGAATCTTCTACTTTGTCAGTTTACAGATACAAGTCCGTCAGATGTGAATGAGTATCCAAGTCATAAACCAATCAGCACCTTGTCTAAAATTAACCGATATTTATTTGATATGAACAAAATACATGTAAAAGAAAAGCATATAATATGAAAGGGAAAAGGTCTTACGCTCTAACGTTCCCTTATGTTGTTGTACTGCTATAGTTGATCGCCTGGACAACCGTTATCGCAGCCTATATATAGAGGGTAAACCTTCCTGATATTTGACGGCTATCTGGCCATGCAAGGAGTTGTGTTTTGCCCGTACATCCTATTTCATACTCCAAACCTCCTGGGCCCGTATTCATGAAACTGTGTTCATACACAAGCATGGATTTTACGCTCAAACTGCTTTTGTTGTTAGGCAACAAAAGGTCAAGTGTGAGCACTGAAAACATTATTTAAATCTAAGACCCTTCACATGTTTTCCATATTGACAAAGTTTGTTTTCGATATTTATAGCTTGAATAAGAAATGAGGTCTGAGCACGAAATCCAAGCTTGAGCATGAGCACGGTTTCATAAATACAGGCCTTGGCCCTATGTTATTTGTATTGGTTTTTTTTTTTCTGATTGACCAAATCTACTGCATAAGGGCAGTGAGTTCGGAACGTCTTCCAGAGATTCACCAAAATCAGGTCGTCTCGAAAGTTAACACCCACGTAAACAAATAAACGCTCCGGTGAAGGCTGCTTCTCGACGGGAGGCATATGCCGAGCGAATACCGTTTTTTTTTTTTTTTTTTTAGAAATTTTTGTTAAAGGAATACACAGGGACAACAGTGAAAGTACAACAGTACTTAGGATAGTGAATCACTTTTCCAAAACTATAAGAGCAATGAAATATTAAATACGAAAATCGAACAAACATTGACAATAACGTACTATATGCAGTTGTGGGGTGCACTACGTTATACGATGCGCGATGTGTGCAAACTGCGCTTACCATGTGCAAACTGTGCGATTAAAGCTGGAGCACATTTATACTCACAATGATCGAACGGTGTGCAATGGTAGTTGCGGTTGATGTCAATAACGGGATGACTTCAAAAATTAAAACAAAAACAAAAGTTCATTTTAAAGTTACCATATTGAAGCTTTATATGTAGGTTATCCATAAATCTGCATTGAGTTCAAAAATTGGGTTTAAATGATCGCTGATAAAGAATATAAATACACACATCGGCACAGTCCTATAAAAACACAGGTAAACAAAGTCGCCTAGTACACGTACCTAGGAGGTATCTCGTCTAACGGGGCAAAACTATAGATAGACACTTACGGAATTAACAAACAAATACGGATACAGTTTACTACAAAGAAGATATCTACTTCGGACACATACCAAGCAAACCTTACGGTCACTCTTCCAAATGTTGTTGACATGTTCTGTTACCTGTGTAAGCCATTATTGAAAGTCGTATATTTTTGATACTGTATATAATTAATACGTAATACACGTACTAACCTTAGACATAATACGAAATATACTAACCAGAAATTATTACCTGATTTCACATTTAGATTTTTTTTTTTCATTTTGTAAAATAGATCAACTTATTGTACTACGTGTGCACATTTGTACGGACATAAACGAGAGCGAATGTTAGATTACACGATTTTGTGCATGAAGTGCGGACGATGTGTGCAAGATGTAGTTACGATCTTGTTTGAACGTTGTGTGGTCACACAAATAAACACAATTTCCTTACGTAACAAGAATGATAAACATACAAACATGGTCAAATGTATTTGTAATTTTGCTGTAATTTTGCAACGTATTTCATGCTTATAGTTAAGAAAATGATGAAGTAACGTAAGGATTTTCTGGAAAATGTAATTCGTTTAATGATAAATCTTAATAAAAGTGTCGTCTATTCCGTTTGCGTCCTATTCTAAATAAAACAGTATGTTGATTGGTAAGAAACGGGACAAACGGTAAAATATGCTTTAAATATGAATATGAAAATCAATGAAAAAACTAATGGAAGCTCAGATGAGGGGCGTTACCCTAAAAACCTTAAATACAGTAGGTTATATATCGGAGGTTTATCTCTACAGACAATCCTAATACTTAGGTCTTAAGGAATAGAACATGGATATGTAAACTCTATACTCATAAGAGCTGGTGTATTATTACGAGGACATGTAAACTCTATACTCAAAAGGGCTAGTGTGTTATTACGGGGACATGTAAACTCTATACTCATAAGGGTTGGTGTGTTATTAAGGGGACATGTACACTATATACTCATAAGAGCTGGTGTGTTATTACGGGGACATGTAAACTTTATACTCATAAGAGCTGGTGTGTTATTACGGGGACATGTAAACTATATTCTCATAAGAGCTGGTGTAATATTACGGGGACATGTAAACTCTATACTAATAAGGGCTGGTGTGTTATTACGGGGAAATGTAAACTCTATACTCATAAGAGCTGGTGTGTTATTACGGGGACATGTAAACTCTATACTCAAAAGGGCTAGTGTGTTATTACGGGGACATGTAAACTATATACTCATAAGAGCTGGTGTGATATTACGGGGACATGTAAACTCTATACTAATAAGAGCTGGTGTGTTATTACGGGGACATGTAAACTATATACTCATAAGAGCTGGTGTGATATTACGGGGACATGTAAACTCTATACTTGTAAGGGCTGGTGTGTTATTACGGGGACATGTAAACTATATA